TCGCAGCACAGGCAGTCACAACGGTTGAGGTTGGAAGGGACTCCTGAGATCACCTCCTCCAGCCCCAGGGCCTCCCCATGCTCCCCCTGCTCTGCTGCCCACCCTGGAGCCACCTCGACTCTCACCCGCAGGGGACTCGGTCCCCTCGCGCTGAGCGGCACCTCCTGCAGAGCCCAGCTCAGCCGCTCGCCTTCTTCCATGTCGAGGATGCACCATGGCGTAAAAACTGTTTTTCTCCCACTTTCCAGTAGACAAAAATCGCTCCTTCTCTGGGGCACAGAACCCATGCTAATGGCTGCCTAATGAGCCTCCAAATCTGCTCAGCTGTCAGAGGCTGCAGACAGTGTCAGAGCTCTCCACACTCGGCTGTTAATGACCCTCTTGGGTGCAAAACCATCGCCTTCTGCTGACTCTTCTTCCTTGCCGTTCTCTCCAAAGCGTTTTCCTCCACTTAATGCGCGTGGACCCCGACGCCACGTGGCTGCTGCTGAGCGAGCTGTGCTGCCCTGAGCCCCGCGAGCCGCCGCACCCCAGCCTGCGGCCCGTGGCGCTGCCCGGCGCGGGAGGACAGCGCCACGAGTTCACGGACAACGCGCTGCTCCTGCTGGAGACGCTGCAGCGGCGGGAGCGCGCGCTGCTGCCGGCAGCGCGGGAGGCATCGCCGCCCTGAGACACCCCGGCCGGAGCCGCAGCACACCGAGGAGCTGCCGGGATAGGGCTCGCCTGGGAGAGGAGCCTTCCAGGGGAAGGAGGAGGTTGTCCGCGTGGGACGCGGGCCGGACACCTCCCCACGGGCAGGGGCTCTGCACAAGAGGCGTTTGAGGAGGTAGATACGTTGTTGGATTCCTSCAGGGCTCTGCTTCCCTGTGCACGGTGCTGGAGGGAAATCCAGGGTCGCATCATCCATTTCTGCAGGATTCAAAGGAGTCTCTTGCTGGGCTGTTTCCCTTCAGCCCTGAGGCCCTTCTGGGATGAGTGCATCTGGCCCTGACTGCCGGCAGGGACTGGTGCTCCCTCCTGTTCATGGCCACAAGACCTGGAAACTTACGGTGAAAGTTATTTCCTGGCCTTTACTCTTCTGAGGGACAGAATTCCCTCTGGGGGACATGAGTTTTTTCCTTTTTTCCCCCCCAATAGCGGCTGCTTGAAAAACAAAAGTTGCACTTCCAATAAATTCCTCCCCACCACTACTGATAAGAGCGGCAGTACCTGGTATCTTCTTAGAAATGTTGAGGCTGGTCCTTAATTATTCACTGTTTTCCAGGACCAGCTGGTGAGACTAGACAAATGGCTCATGCATCCTGCTCCTCTTACAGGCAAGCTGTAGCAGAGTCTTTAGGAAAAATTGCCAGCCTTGATTTACAGCTTGTAAGTCATTTGAGAATCCACCACGCTCCCGGATGACTTGTTCCCTCGTTAGCTCTACTCCTTGTTAAGAATTTGCATGTGTCCCAAGTGGATGTCAGGCTTCGGGTTCCAGCTCGAACTCTTCCATCTTCCTGCACCAGGCTGAAGAACAGCAACCATTCCTCTCCTCCACAAGAGGTTGGACACCAGGCAGGTCACCCCTTGGTAAAGCTACCTATAAAGGGCTCTTGTACATTGCTCTCCATAGGGCTGGCTTTCCAGGCTGCCTGCTCACCTTAAGCTTCTTCCCCAGCCCTCTTGGRCATGTCACCAACAGCGAAGGAAAACCTGGTGAAATACCTGTGTGCCCAGCACAATCTGCCAAGCGCACACAAGTGCCAAAGCCACTGGGAAGGGAATGGGGCAACGCAGCACACAGAGAGGACAACTGCTTTGTGGGCAGCTCCTCCAGACCAAGGCCCAGCCCTCCTGCTCACCTGGAGGCCCTCAGGAAGCTCCCAAGCCCTCCAGGCCCATTCCCTGGGGCCTCTGCAGCTGCTTTATGTGGGTCAGCTGCTCCCGGCTGCTCCCTCGCCGCGCAGCCGGGATTGCCGACACCTGCTTTGCCACGCGCAMACCTGCGGGTTTCGTGCTAGCAGGGCAGGAGGACACAGGCTTGGTTGTGAAGCTGGGAGCACGCTCAGAAATAAGAAAAGCAATGCAATAAAGTGTGATTTTTTTACATGACCAGCTTTGTGCATCTCTGTTGGGGATCCAAGGTTCAAAACCCTCCTCAGCYGTTGAGACCGGGGGGCAGCAGCCGATCCCCCCCTCTACAAGCACCCCCATGCCCCGTTGATTGGGCCTCCCCTTTCCTTCCCGCTTGTGTTCAGACTTTATTCCCGGGTGTTTTTTTCCTACGAAGGCCACAAGCTTGGGGACTTTATACTAAGTGGGACAGAGCTAGAGTTCAGCTTTTACCCCTTACCCTCCCTCCATACGTGTGAAGCTCTCAACTGGGGTTGGGTTGGGTACAAAGGAGCCATCCAAGCTGACCCGGCGAGCGGGAACGTGGACTCCTCGGCGCTCGAAGCGCTCCCGGCGCTGCCGGGTGCTGCGCGTGGCTGCAGCGCCCGGCGCTCCCGCACGCGGATCCTCCAGGAGCCCCTGGCCACCTCGGAGGGGAGAGCAGCTCCGCTCCCCTGGTGAAGAAGGTGACAYGGGTGTCCGTCAGGAAGGGCGCAGGACCGGGGGTGCTGCCCGGCAGGCTCAGCTCCGGCCGCAGGGTTTGCTGGGGTGTCACAGCCAGTGTGGGGGCCATGGGGGGGCACAAGAGCAGCAGGGCACAACAGCCGGACACCCTCCGCAGTGCCCCCAGAGCGCCCCGGATCGCCCATCCCTGTCCCCAGCCCCGCGCTGCAGCCCCGGGGCACTGGGACCCGCCTGTCAAAGCAGCGCTTCCCACACATAGCCCAGGTGCCAACTCCCGGCCACGGTGCTGGGGTGACATTGATGCTGTCCCCTCTGTCCCGCACCACTCGTCTCCACCAGCCTGCAAGGCCGCTTACCCACGGCTCCCACACGCAGCCCAATGCTTCTCCAGGCTCCCCGGCTCCGCTGGGAATCTCCTCCATGGCTGTCGTCCGCAGGCAGCGCTGGAGCCGCACGCAGCCCCTGCCGCCCATCCCACCTCTTCCCAGCTTCGTTACCGGCCCGGCCTTGTTGCACGCAGAGCAAATTGCTTTTGTCTGAAGTGGGATAATGGTCACAGGAGCGCCCGTGTGGAAATGGCATTTTCAYGAGGCTGTTTCTCCTAGACAGTGTCTTGCATATTAAGCGGGGTCCATTTACCAACGAGCAGAGCAGGGGGCTTCATTGCTCCCTGCCCATGGCACCTTCCTCTGCACCCTCCTTCCTTCCTCMTCCTTCCCCCACAACCTTTTGTGGCTCCCAATGGCAGCAGTAGCTGTGGGGACCCCTCAAACCCGTGGGACATATGGTGCGGAGCCCGGCACAGCCACAGGGCAGAGCCTGGTGCAGACATGTCCAGGGGCCATCCAGGGCCCTGCATCCCTCTGCCCAGCTCCCTGTGACCCAGTGGAAGCCTCTCCGGTAAAACAGGGCATCTGTAGACATCTCCTTTGGGTTGCACAAAACCAGTGACCGTTCCCCCGGACGGAGCACCCAGGGGTGTCGGGGCTCTCCCCGGGACAGGCCACCTCCTCCCTCCGTAGTGTCCGTGGGTTCTGCTCCCGGTGCTCCCGGGCGCCAGGAGCTGCTCATGGCCCAGGCTCCGCCGGGCCGGACCAAGCCAGGACCCCGGGGCTCCTCCGGGACCGGGTGCCGGGGACCCGCCATGTGGCAGCCCCGAGGCCGGGCCCTCCGTGGGCTCCCTGCCCGTTCGGGGGGCTCTGCCACCCCCCGGACAGGGACCAGTGTCCCAGGCAGAGCCTGGCCCCGAGGGGCCACAGGGGCCACCAGCCCCCAGGCCCCGGCACCTCCCTCGGACGGGCCGTGGGGGCCCCGATATGGGGGGGCTGTGCTTGGGGAGGGGCGCAAGGAAGCAGAGCCCGCGGGCGAGGGGGAGCAGCGGGGATGGGGCCCCGGCAGCACCCGCGGAGGGTCCCGGCTCCCCGTCCCGCTCCGGCCCGGCCCGGCCCAGCCCGCCCGCCGCGGGGACAGCAGCGGCTCCGTGTCGGGTGTCCCCGTGTCGCGGTGTCGCCAATCACGATGTCGCGGAGTCGCGGTGTCGTGTCAGGAGCTTTATTAGCTGCAGCGGGGCAGGTGCTCATAGGCGGGGGGGCCCCGCCGCCCCCCGGGGGGTTACACGGCGGGAAGGGGTGGGGGCCGGCGGAGCCGCTCGCTCCCCCCGGGCTGCCCGCGCCGGGTCCTGCGGAGGGGCCGGGTCCTGCGGGGGGGCCGGGTCCTATGGGGGGGCCGGGTCCTATGGAGGGGCCGGGTCCTGCGGGGGGGCCGGGTCCTA